CGGCTGGGGGGCGGGGGCACCGCGAAGAAACGTGATGACGTGAGCCACAATGCGCACCGGCGGCGGAAGTCGCGCCGAGCTGGGGAATTAGCTCAAGTGGTAGAGCGCTCGCTTAGCATGTGAGAGGTAGCGGGATCGATGCCCGCATTCTCCAGGGCTGAATTTTATGAAAGGAGTCGCCCGTGGTGTGGTCACTTTACGCCAAAATTGGGGTCAAGGTGTTGGGGGCACCAAGGTGTCCCTAGCTGTGGTCCACCACCCAGAGACAGAATTGCGATGGGGGAGGGGCGCCCCCTTTTGTCTTAGGGGAAGGATGTCTTTACACACGAGCGTCCTTCCGGCTGGTCTGGGCTCCCCGTCTCCTGCCATCCCCCTGCCTCCTGGGGAGGACCCCGCCCCCAAGCCAGCCCTGAAAACCAAGATTGGGGTGTCCCCTCCCGTATTCCAGAGTGGACCCCCAGGCACCGCTCCGAGTCCCACGAAAATCAGCACGAGGGCAGGCGTGAGAAAGCACAGATTGGGCAAGAGGGGGCTGCACTGGCTGCCAGGCGCAACCCCCCGGGGTCCTGGCTCTGGGGGGCGGGGTCTGTGGGCCTCTCCTCACAAAGTATCAGGCAGGTTAACAGGCTGCAGAAGTGGCACTTCACCCCCAGGACAGGTGTCCAGGTCACTGGGGAAACTGGCCCAGAGACCCCAAGGTGGGGCCTTGGAGGCACGGCTGGGGTGGAGTGAGAGGCGGTGGGAGAGGTGACCGGGTCACTCAGAGCCTCTGGGGACAGTGTCCCCACGCCAAACCCGGTCTAGACCTCAGAGAGGGACACCGGCCATAGTCTGGGGGGGGACGTGGGTCGCTCACGCTGCCTCCCATGGAGCTGGCTGGGACAGGGGCAGACACTCCAGCTCAAAGAGGGCGCTGCGTGGTTACGGTGTGGCCGTCCAGGCCCCTGGGCCCGTGGCAGGGCCCGGTCCCTGGGGGGGTGGGGCGTGGCCTAGCACCCCCTGCACCCCCATCACACAGACGCCGGCCGGCCCGATCTCCTTCCTCCTCCCCGACTCAAGCTGTCAGAGCCCCAGTGCCAGCGGGCAGGGAGAGCCGGGCCCAGCTCGGCTGGGTCAGCCCCAGACCTGGGAGCTGGGTCTCCGGGCACAGAAACGACCCCCACGGCAGCCCACCAAAGGCCGCTCCCGGCCCCCGCAGCCTCGACCTGCTGGGCTCCGGCGACCCTTCCGCCTCAGCCTTCCAAGTAGCTGGAACTACAAGCACGTGCTGCCACGCCCCGCTAATTTTTTGATATACAGTATATTGTAGAGACAAGGTCCCACCAAGTTGCCCAGGCTGGTCTCGAACCTGCGGGCTCAGGCAGTCCTCTCGCCTTGGCCTCCCAAAGTGCTGGGATGACAGGCGTGAGCCACCGCGCCCGGCCAAGAAGATATTAAATAGGCTATAAGTTGCACTCGAAGAAAAGCTTTTCCGTGGTCTTTCTGTCACGTCCCCAAGGCACAGTCCACCCCAGGCTGGCACTGACCCGCGGCCTGGCGTGGGCCCCTGGCAGAGGGCATGCCAGGAAGAGCTGGGCTGGCGGCCAGGAGCCGCGGTCCAGGCTGCTGCTGGGAGGGGCCGAGAGGTGGTGAGCTGGGCAGGAGGACCCAGAGAGGCCTCTTTGGGGATGTGAGGTCAACCTGCACTCACCGGGACATGTAACTCTTCTATTTCTCTTCCTTTTCTAAAACGCATTAAGATTCAGTCCTTGCCGGGCATGGTGGCTCACGCCTGTCATTCCAGCACTTTGGGCAGCCAAGGTGAGAGGATTGCCTGAGTCCAGGGTTTTGAGACCCGCCTGAGCAGCTTGGGGAGACCTCATCTCTACACTAAATCAAAAAATGAACCAGGCGTGGTGGCACGCGCCCGTAGTTCCGGCTCCTTGGAAGGCTGAGGCGGAAGGATCGCCGTAGCCCAGCAGGTCGAGGCTGCGGGCGCCGGGAGCAGCCACTGCCCTCCAGTCTGGGTGACGGAGGGAGACTCCAACTCAAAAACAAACAAACAAAAAGATTCAGTCCATTTGGGAGGTTGTGGCTGGAGCATCGCTAGAAGCCAGGAGCTCAAGACCAGCCTGGGCAACATAACAAGACCTCATCTCTACAAAAATTTAAAAAATTAGCTGAATGTGGTGGTGGTGCCTGAAATCCCAGATTCTCTGGAGCCTAAGGCAGGAGGATGGTTTGAGCCTGGAGTTTGAGGCTGCACTGAGCTATGATCGTGCCACTGCACTCCAGCCTGGACAACAGAGCAAGACCCCATCTTTAAAAAACAATAATAATTTTTAAAAAGATTCGCCCACTATCTTGCCCACCCCAAGTTCTCCAGGATGAGACCTCCCACACTGGCCTCACCAAGACTGGCCACGTGACTCTGTTCAACTGCCTGGGATAGATGCCACCTCAGTGACCCCGGCAGGCAGGAAGCTCCCGCTTCACCCTGGAATGAGGGGCTGACTCGAGGTGCGCCCGCTCCCAGCCCACAGGCCCCCTCCTCCCTGATCCCAGTAGGTCCTCTCAACTGGATTCATGGCTGGACAGAATGGAGGAGCTCTCCCAGGGGACCCCACAGTGTGCATTTTGGGGATACTATCTCCCTAGCTGGACTGTATGACCATTTAAGACACAGCTCAGACAGCACCTCCTCCATTAAGCCCTCCCTGACTTCCCCTCTGACGATGCCACCGCCTCCGGTCCTCAGGACATCTCCGCACGATGCTTTCCCTGGCTGTGGGAACTGCCCTGTGTGGCTGGATCAGAGCACCTCCAGGGCTGCCAACCTGACTCACCTGGGGTCTCCCTGCATGCAGGGTGCTGCCCGCCACAGGTGCTTCTCGCAGCATCGGCTTGGCACTGAGTGGGCGGCCAGCATCGGGCACCCCAGTCTCCTGCGCTGACTGCAGGGCCGGAAGGGTCCCACAGAGGGGCCTTGGGCCATGGATGGCACCCCCGACACGCAGTGGCTCTCCTGGGGGCAGTGCCCGGGGGGCTGCGGCGGCCCCGAGCCGCCCCCTACAAGGCCCACACAGGCTGTTCCTTCCCCAGCGGGCTCTCACAGGCGAGATGGATGTCTGGACAGAATGGAGCGGGCAGGTGCCGGGTCCCCATGCTCCAGGTGGCAGAACACCCCGGCCTTGGGCCCAGGAGCGCAGGTGCCCGCTGGCTCTCCGGGTCCAAGCAGTGTGGCCCTGGGCTAGTCCTTGGCGTCGCTGGGCGTTCATAGGTCACAGCTTCAGGCCAGGTGCAGTGGTGCACACCTGCAGTCCCAGCACTTTGGGAGGCCAAGGCGGGAGGATCACTTGAGCCCAGGAGTTCAAGAACAGTCGGGGCAACATAGCAAGATCACATCGCTACAAAAAATCAAAAAGTGAGCCAGGCTTGGTGGTGCCTGCCTGTAGTTCCGGCGACTTGGGAGGTTGAAGCAGGAGGACCAGCTGAGCCCAGGAGGCCGAGACTGTGGTGGCCACAACTATGCCACTGCACTCTAGCCTGGGCAACAGAGTGAGACCCTAATTCAAAAACAATAATTTCTGCCAGGTGCTGTGCTCACACCTGTAATCCCAGCACTTTGGGAGGCTGAGACGAGAGGACTGCCTGAGTCCACAGGTTCGAGACCAGCCTGGGCAACTTGGCAAGACCTCGTCTCTATAATAAATCAAAAATTATCCGGGCATGGTGGCACGTGCCTATAGCTCCAGCTCCTTGGAAGGCTGAGGCGGAAGGATCGCTGGAGCCCAGTGGGTCGAGGCTGCGGTGGCCGGGAGCGGCCGCTGCACTCCAGTCTGGGCGATGGAGTGAGACTCCGACTCAAAAAATGATAATAATAATTTTTGAGAAAGTGGCGGCATCTTCATGTCACACTGGGCCGTGTGAGTTACGTGCCCAGACTCTGAGATATTCCTGGGCTGGTGCTGGCCAGCGTCTGATCTCTTGGGTACCAGTGAGGGGGCACCGGGCTGGGCTTGCACCAGCAGGGAGGGAGCCCTCGGTCCTCACAGGGCGGTCGGTGGGCAAAGCCCAGTCCTGCTGCATGCCACCCCCGGGGTGGCGAGGGAGACAGAGACCGCTGGTCCTGCCCCGCGGGTGGGGAGGGATCCCTCATCTGTGGAAGGAGACACAGAGGGATGGGGTCTTGTGTGCTGAGGCAGCCGTGCTGTTCGCCCACGTCCTGAAGGCCAGGTGGGTGTGACAGTATCCGGCCGGACCCCAGGCAGCACGTGGAGAGGCTGGGGAAGAACCGCCACCGTGCTGGCTGCTGGGTGCGGCCGCACTTAAGAATCAAAATATAGGCTGGGCTCGGTGGCTCAGCCTGTCATCCCAGTGCTTTGGGAGGCCGAGGTGAGAGGACTGCCTGAGCCCAAGGGTTCGAAATCCGCCTGGGCAACTTGGTAAGACCTCGTCTCTACAATAAGTCAAAAAATTAGCTGGGTGTGGTGGTGCGGGCCTGTAGTTCCAGCTACTTGGAAGGCTGAGGCGGAAGGATCGCCGGAGTCCAGCAGGTTGAGGCTGGGGTGGCCGTGAGCGTGCCCCTGTACTCCAGCCTGGGCAACAGAGTGCGATTCCAACACACACACAAAGCAAAAACAGGCCAAGCATGGTGGTTCACACCTGTAATCCCAGCACTTTGGGAGGCCAAGGTGGGAGGACCGCTGGAAGCCAGGAGTTCAAGACCGGCCGGGGCAACCTACCACACAGTCTCATTCTTGTCCTGCGTCCGGTCAGAAATTATTAAGGCTGGAAAAGGCAGCAGCAGACACGAGACCAAGTGTGGGCCCTTCCCGGCCACACGTCCCCTACGCCAGCCCTAGGATGGATGGGGCGCCGGCCCGGGGGCTCAGCCCTTCCCCGGCGGACGGCCACGGGTGAGACACGCGTGCGACTCTTCACTGGCCCCGGGACCGGGGTCCCCTCCGCGAGGACACGCGACTCAGACGCGCACGGGGCACGAGAGAACGGATTGATGTTTTTAAAAAAGTCGGTTTATAAATACTTCTCCGCTGTACAAAGTCCCCAGCCCGCCCGCCCGTCACGGTTCGCATTTCTCAAGCCTTCGGCCTCCCGTTATACTTACTCTTTTAGAATCATAAAATATATGTTTTCTTTGCTCGTATTTAGAACTATGTACAGGGCGCAGAGGCCGGCGCGGCCGAGGTCAGGACGAGTCGGTGCAGGGGGAGGGCGGGGGAGGGAACAGGTGGAAGTAGCTCCGCTCGGTGGCCGGCGAGGGTGGGCAGCTGTCCTCGGCCGACAGGTACTGGCTGTGTGGCGTGGGCGGCGGCGCGTACGGGTCTGAGTCCGAGTTCAGATCCAGGTAGTACTTGCTGGCCTTCCAGCGGCTGGCGCTGTAGTCGCTGTCGCACACGTCCGTGCTGCAGGGCGTGGTGGGGGGCGCCCCGGCCCGGGTGATGTAAGGCCTGCGGGGGAGGCCACAGGGGCTGGGACGCGGCGTCGGGGCCCTCGGGAAAGGGACGGACGTGCAGGGCGGGACCCAGAGCCCGGAGGCCCGCAGGAAGAGGACACACAGGGCATGACACCCAGAGAGTCAAGGAGGTCCCCTTGGAAGGGACGGACACGGGGGTGGGAGGCCCGTGTGGAGGGGACACGCCTGGAAGATGGGACCTGAACTCAGGGAGGCTGTGTGCACGTCCGGCCGGAAGGCATGGGGGCCCTGGCACGGAAGCCGGGAAAGGCCCATCCGCTGGCCTGCCCAGAAGAGGCTGGCACGGCCAGGACCCGCCTGCTGTGTGGCCCGGCCTCATCGCTTCCCCTCTCTGGGCCTCCCCCGCAGGCCGCCACGCCCAGGCCCGGGAGAGGCCGCCGTGGTGGACCACAAGGCCTCTGGAGCCGGCCTGGCCTGGGGGGTCACTGACTCAGCTCCCTAAGCCTCAGTTTCTCACTGATAAAACGGGGGGGGATGAACTGGCGGCCCTTACAAAAGGGGCTTGTGAGGGGGTATGTGGGATCCTGCATGGAAAGTGCTAGAACAGTGCCGGCCAAGACAAATGTCTGCAAAACCGGCCCGGTAACGTGGTTACTGGAACTGCTGGCGACCACAGGGCGCGGGACGGAACCTCTCTTGGGCCAACGCAACCTGGTCCCGGAGGGGCCTCTGGACCGCCCACCCACCCCAGGCTGCCTGCCTTCAGCTGTGGCTCGGAAATCCTGCGACGGGCTGTGTGAGTCCCGGGATGAGACCAGGGTGCGTTTTCGAGCCCCGGTCCTGCCTCCCTCCCCTCATTGGGGCCCAGGGTGGGCAGACCCCGGCGCTGAGGACAACGCAGCCAGGTACCCCTGCCGGGAGCCCAGAAGCCACCAGGTCAAAGGGTGGGAAGGGACCATGTCCCCGCGTGAGGCCCAGAACCGGACAGCACTAAAGCGATGTGACAACCCCGGGGACAGGGGCAGATGAGGCTTCCGTGACAGATGGTGGCAGCCCAAGGTTGGCAGTGCCGGCTGGATGTGATCGGGGCACTAGGCAGCCACTGCAGGCTTGAGCAGGACAGTGACCAAAGCAGTAGGGGTGGGGTGCAGTTCTGAGGAGTGGCCACTAGATGGCCCCGCGGCTCCAGGCCCCCAGGCAGGGAGGACACGTGGCCCAGAGGTGGCCTGGCCCGGCCCCCCACCCACCCAACCCATCACCCCGGAGGCGAGC